TGATTGGGGAACCATAACAAATGTTGGTCATACCCAGCCATAGGTGCAGACTGGCACACCCCTGACATTTGTTTCGTCAAACAAGTTAGGAGCAGACCTTGAAGGTCAAACCTAAGTCTGGGTAGTGATCAGAACACTATCAGACCTAAGTCAAGGCTCAAACACATAATAGGGGACAAGGGAAGTGGGAATTGACTGAGTTAAGGAGTTCAAAAGAACCCAGTTCAGGGCCATAGGCAGCAATAGTGCTGCTATGGCTGGAACCACAACTCCCATACAAAGAGGAAAGGGAGAGGGGTTCACATAAGAGTAGTAATAACAGGATTGCAGAAACATAGTGAAGAAAATACAACAAAACCTAGAAAGTGAACATGTAGTGGAGGAGCATTCTTAAATTAAGAAGAACATACCAGTTGCAAGATAATAAAACAGCAGAACAGCAGAGTAAGCAAGCAGCAAGAAATCAGCACGAGCAGACTTAAGATTGTATGCAAAACACTTGAGAGTTCAGAGAGAACTCAAGAATATTTCAGAATGTAAAAGGGAGAAGAGGAGGGTAGAAAGCAGAGATACTATAAGTTGAGAAAGCAATTTCAGTGTTCAAATGTGTGAAGGCCTTTTTAATGCAGAAAAGTTGTGTCAAAAGTGTAAAAGGGTAGCCCCTTTTATAGTGCAGAAACAGGTAAGAATAAGGTAAGAAAATAATTTGAAAATCAATCACAGGCTGTTTCCCCTTTGTTAAGGGATTGATTTCAAACGGGCATGATAAATAAAGAAAGGGCTTTGTTTAAAATCTTTTCCAAGGCAATATAACAGGGGCAAATACATAGAGCATTATTTAAGGAAATAGCTTAGTAGCACACTGTTTGGACAAAAATAAGGAAAGGCAATCAATCACAGCCAGTAAAAATCAAGGTTTGAATCTTGATACGAATGAATCTAACCAAGAAAGGTGAAGGGGGAACCTAGTTTAAATAATAATCATCAACACTCAATCAGACCCTTTTAAAAGGGACTCGGAATCAATCACAGGCTGGCCAAAGGCCTTTTGAAAGAGGAGAATGTCATATAAAAAGCATGCAGAGACAAGAGAGAGTTGTTGTAAAACTAGCAAGACATCAGAGCAACCAAGAAGGTTAGGTTCACAGACTCGAAACGAGTCTGAAAGAGAGTCAGGGTTATGAGTGGAACCCTAGTCCAAACACAAGGTCAAGCTTGTCAAAAAACCCCAAATACTAGGGTTTCTGACTCGAATCAGATGCATAGACGAGAGAACAACAAATAGAATAGGCTCAGTAGCAAGTTTGAAACATAGAGAATACATTCAGGCAAAGCTTGTCACTCAAACAAGTTTAGAAGCGAAAAAACGATACAAGTTTAGGAAAATAGTATATGGAGCATGCTTAGGAAGAACTTAAAAATCTGATAAAGCAAGCAAACATAAAGAACCTAGTAGGAAATACATACAATAAAAATCACATAGCAGAGATAATCATACGAGCTTAGGCTAAAGGCACAGGAAAGATGCAAAGCATAGAAGGATCATGCTTAACAGAAAGAAAAAGCGGAAGATCAAATACGTGCGTAGCAGAGAAGAAACATACGAGATAAACACATATGAAACACACATAAAGAAAAGAGATGAAAGAATCAGAACGTTTTCTAGAAACCCTAGTTTGAAAATCAAATGATTTTAAAAGAAAAAAAAATTAGGGGAAACCCTTGAAATATCGAATATAGCACAGATATAGCACAGATCTAAGAGAAAACAAACAGAAAAACCTCGAATAGCTTTAGGTTTCTCTGAAACCCTAGAAATGAGAAGGCTTGGAAAGGGTCTGGTCTCGAACAGATCTGAGCCATAGCTAGGCTCTTAAAGCTCGAACACGTCGGAACACGGTCGGAGAGGCCACAGAATCACAGATCTGTGGAGGATCTGCTCGAACACCATTGAGGTCGGACCTTGAAATCTCGAACAACCAAGGCTTGGGGGGAAAGAAGGTGAGCACGGGCCGTCCATGGCCTGTGAAACCATGGTGAGATTGATCGGAGAAGACGAGGGAGGCGATTAGGGTTTCGAGTGCTAGGGAGCGTTTGAGAGAAGGAGAGAGTTCGAAGGCGGCGGTCGAAGAGGAAATGAGGATTAGGGTTAGGTCATTTGGAATTAAAAAGGAAAGGGTCATTTGTGGCCGTTGATCAAAAGGATCAACGGCCTGGATTTAAAATAATCCCGGGCGGGTTTAGTTTAATGGGTCAGGGGTTGGAATTGGGCTGGCCCAATTGGGCATCAGGATTGGGGTCAATTGGGGTTAAGATTGAAATGAAATTGAGGTTATAATTGAAATGAAATGTGGCCAAAATTGAAATAGCCAGTTTTCCCCTATTATTTTATAAAAATTAGTAAAATGTTTTTAAAAAGAAAATTAATGCTATTGAATCAGTTAATAATATATAAATATTAACTTAAAAATATTGGGATCAATTTGTAATAATAAAGTGCTATCAAATCTTAAGGAGGCTAGTATTGTAATTTTATGCAATTTAGCTTTAAAAATACCAAATGAATTTGTAAAAATATGCAAAAATCATGTTAACTATATTTTGATGTAAATATGAGGCTAAAATAAATTAGTCACCAAAAGGATAATTTTGGGAATAACTATTTGATTTTATGGTGTAAAAATAGGCCATAAATTGGTTTTAAAATCCTTAAAGATGTCAAAACCTTTTGATGTGCTCATATATGCTTATATATGCTATTTTGAAAGTATTTCGGGTGTAAAAGTACATAGGAAAAAATTGGGTATTAACAGCTGCCCTTCTTTACTCGAGGAGGATGAAAGAGTTGTCGGGTAAAGACAAGATGGCCAATTTTGACCGAATCGGTGATTGGAAAGAATTTTGACCAAGCCCTGGCTTCTGAGCTGCCTACATATCCCTGGTTTTACAGCAATCAGGCCATATGTAGTTCAGGAACCATTGACGGAGTGTATCGAATGGGGATTCGAAAAGAACAGACGCGATGCTTTGGCTTGGGAAAAGGCGTTTGGAGTCAAATAGGCTGCGGAGAACCGGAGCGGAATCGCTCCTGCTGAGACGGTTGTTTGCTAGCCGGTATACCTGCAAGTGAGCCATGTAGCGTGTATTGTGCATAATTTAAACATGATGCAAGTTCCCGTTGGACCATGAATGCTGTCTTTGGACGGTTAGGATGACGTCCTCAGACTATGATGTCCTGGGTCATGAAGAGCATAAATAAAAATTCGCAGGCCATGAAATGGTGTTCTCGGACTATGCAGATGGTGCCTCCGAACTATGACGCCTTCGAATAAGTTGGCGATCTTTCAGCCCATGAAAAGGTGGCAATCTTTCAGCCAAATAAATGCAAAAGGTGGCGATCTTTTAGCCAGAGTGAAAATTTAAATGCAGGTGGCGATATTGCAGCCATTCGAAGAAATAAAGTGGCAGTATTTCAACCATGCAGATGGAGACACTGCTTAGTCTCGAAAGGCAGGTAAGTAGCCTTATGCAGGATGGAGGTAGAGCTTAACCTCGGAAGGTAGATAGATAGCCTTATGCAGAATGCAGATGGAGACAATGCTTAGTCTTGAAAGGCAGATAAATAGCCTTATGCAGGATGGAGGTAGAGCTTAACCTCGGAAGGCAGATGGATAGTCTTATGCAGAATGCAGATGGAGACAATGCTTAGTCTCGAAAGGCCGATAAGTAGCCTTATGCAGGATGGAGGTAGAGCTTAACCTCGGAAGGCAGATGGATAGCCTTATGCAGAATGCAGATGGAGACAATGCTTAGTCTCGAAAGGCAGATAAATAGCCTTATGCAGGATGGAGGTAGAGCTTAACCTCGGAAGGCAGGTGAGTAGCCTTATGCAAAATGCAGATGGAGACAGTGCTTAGTCTCGAAAGGCAGATAAGTAGCCTTATGCAGAAATGCAGGAATGTAAAGAGTGAATAGTAGTGAGATTTTCTTAGCTGATAGCAGATTGCGATATCGTGGCCGCTGGGGAGGTTGGGTGTAGATAGTAAATTTGTGAATAAGCGATCGTTCTGATGGTTTCCCACCTAAAAGGTTCAGATGATTCGGGACCTGTATCCAAAGAAAAATCGTGAGTTCTGTAGAGGGGGAAAGGTTAGTTCATCTTCCCGTGGCTCCTGACGTCACGTATCGTTGGGGTAGCGTGGCTAAACTAAGGCTGTTGGTGGGCCGGTCTGGGACCGGGACCGGACCGGGCCCGCGGTCCTAACGGGCTAAACGGTCCCGGCGGGCCGGTCCTGGTGGGCCGATCCCTTAATGGGTAAGAAGCCCGTGACGGGCCGGTCTTGCTCGTGTAGCCCACGAGACCGGGACCGCTAAGCCCGGGACCGGCAGGCGGTCCTGGGCCGGTTCAACCGGGCCTAGCGGTCCTAACGGACTCCAACGGCTAATTTTTAAAAAGAAAAAATTTTTTTTTTTTAAAAAAATAGCCAACGGTCAGATTTTAAAATCTAGCCGTTGGCCTTTAATTTTCAACCGTTTGGAATTTTAAAAAATAGCCATTTGGCCCCCAAACTTTATTTTAACCCCAAACTTTATATAATTACACTTTTCCCCAATTCTCAACTATAAATACCCCCTCATTCTTTCATTTTTACTCACCAATTCATCAATCTNCCGAGTCCTCTTTGAGGCCGGGTACGATATGAAGTTGATGATGATGCCCACAAAGGCGTATGTTTTTTTAAAAGTTTATGTATATATATATATGTATATATATATATATATATATATATATATATATATATATATATATATATTTATATATATATGTATTATGCATTTCATGTCAGTAGCCCCTAGAGGCACGCAGATGTTACAGGTTGTATCTCCTCTATCTCTCCTTACATTACAGTTCTTGCTTATGCTTTCCTTCCTTACATACTCGGTACTTTATTTGTACTGACGTCCCTTTTGCCTGGGGACGCTGCGTTTCATGCCCGCAGGTTCCGATTGATAGGTTGACAGTCTTCCTAGTAGGCTATCAGCTCAGCGGAGGTGTTGGTGCACTCCACTTGCTCCGGAGTTGCCTATTTGGTCAGTATGTTTTGGATATGTATTGATTGGTATGGCGGGCATTATCTCGACCTTTATGATTTTATGTAGTCTTAGAGGCTTATAGACAGATGTCATGTATATGAAAATTGTATGGCCTTATCGGCATATATTTAGTGTATGAGTGATCACTTTGGTTTTATAGGCACGTATGTCACATGTATAAGTTTTCATTATGTCAGGTCGTCCAATATTTAGTATTCCCTTATATTTTATTTTTGTTATCTCATGACGACCTTTCTAGGCCATTTACCCATAGTATTATGATATGACAGATATGTTATGTTGGTACTCGGTTGAGTAAGGTAACGGGTGCCCGTCGCAGTCCATCGGTTTGGTTCGTGACAATTTCACATTGGTTTCAATCACCTTTTTTCATAAAGACATGACATAGAGATCTCTTCATTCATATTTTCAGGTACCTGATCCTCTCATGAGATTTTATGAAGTATTATGTCATTTGATCTTCTAGATCACTTACCTCCTTTTATGATTATTTTGATCATTTGCTCTTCTTCTTTATCAAAATTTTTATTTGAATCCAATTTGTCTATACACTTTAAGCGTAGCATAGGCTTTATCCTTCTAGGACTTATTCTAATATGAGCATTTGCAGTGATAATATAGTTACTTTCTTTTGGTCAGCAAATGCGTCAAGCATGATTTACAATATATTGCAGATGAATTATCTTTTTATGAACTTCAAGTTTATATTATCTTATTCGAGGATCTAGATGTACAAATGATAATTCATTCCGTAACTTTTTCTCAATTGTTTATCCTGTCTCCCCCTCATGTTAGAAAAATTAACTTGCTTCCTCAACTTTGAAAATCCATCTTTGTGCGTTGTGGTGTTAATCAAAATATACATCGCTCATCAATAATAATAAGATGAAATTATTTGGTTCCTGGCCCTGAACCACTTGTGAGTGGAGAATATATTATACTTTCGTATATAACATATATCAAACTGATATAGATAACCTTGTTCTCATAAGCAATAGTTTAGTTATTGAGTGGAGGCACTCAATAAATCATTTTCTCTAAATCAGCTGTGATGTAAAGCAATTTATCAAGATGAACTGTCTTGAATATAAAATATGAAAATTACGCTCTAAATTAAATTATTGGGTAGTTTCCTCGCAACTACCAGGTTGCAGGTTAATAATAATTGCACATGTAACCATCTCATATATGCATCTTATGTGGTATACATGGCAGTTGAATGATCCAAATTCACCTTTGATATTTTCAACATTCATGAGATTCAATCCTAATTTTAATTGCTCTATTAATTAATGAGAATAAGCAATATAAGAGAATTTATAAAGGACCCCTCTATTTATAGGAAAAGAGTGACTTAGCCACCAAGTAAAATCCCTAAAAAAAATCACTTTTCCCCTATAAATAGGAGAGTTCTATTCCATTATAATTCATCTCAAGTCAATAAGAATTCTCTCTATTTTTTTGTGCAATGCTCTTCTTTTTATTTTATTGTTTTATAACAGGAAGTGTATTAAGAGAATTGTTTGAAAGGATACCTTATAATTAGATTCGAGTACAATCGACTATAATTACATAATGCGGATAGTTTGTATGGCCATGTAATTTTTGGTCAAATCGAATTGGATGTCAGACAAAGCAATTACTACCATGATCCAATTCCCATTATAGGTTGTTATGACGTCCAACGTTGTCGCCGGACAAGCCAACGGTGAACTATCCATGTAATTGTTCATTTTTAATATTTTTAAAGCAATTAATTTTATTTAATAAGAGAACGATTAAGGGTGATTGTAGTAATATAAAGTATAAAATAATGAAAGAGTAAAATAGTGAATTTAATACTCAAAGCCATAAAAAATCTACCAGAATATTCCGAAAATTCAGTATCACAAGTGAACGAGCAAACCAGTAGAATATACAAAACTTCCTATACTAGTATCTGGAGTAAGATAGACAGAAAAATAAATGCAACAAGAAGAGACTCCGGGCGCTACAAAATGAGCATAAAGAGCAGCTCACCGCTAAGTGTCCGGGTAGCGGAGGTACGCGCCTGTATGGCCGCCAGATGCACATGCCTAAGATCTTGCATGATTAGTACAGAAGTATAGCGTAAGTACATAAGCAACATGTACCCAGTAAATATCTAGTCTAACCTCGAAGAAGTAGTAATGAGGGGTCGACATCGACACTTACTAAGGGTCAATAAATAAAGTGCACAAATTATAAATAAGTAGGGGATACATAGATAATAACGAATTAATGGACAATAAATAAGTGGTGCTTTAACTAAATATCAGTTGGAGTCTCCAACTATCACTTACTAATTTCAACAAATAAGAGCCATCAAGTAATTATAAATTTTCATGTCATGGAAGAAATATCAAGTATAATCGGACTCTGAGCAATATCACATACGATTTATGCCGAGGTCGTACGGACCGATCCAGAATAATGTGTACACTGCCGAGGGTCGACCGGCGTGAACCATCGATGCATCTATTATACTTCCAAGGCGTTCGGCCCAATCTACAGGAAGAGAGAATACTCTACGAACTCTGATTAACGGGTACTACAAGAATAATACACAAGGAGGCATAGTTTCCACTAATAGTCAAGTAACCCACCCAAACTCAAAGTAATTAAGCTCAATATTTACAAATTCTTTACCCAGTATCATATATAATTTAAGTAATTAAGCTAATAAGTTCAGTATAAATAGTACAAGTAATACATGGTAGAGTCATAAACTACCCGGACATAAGCATGATTTTTAGCTACATGCGGACTCTCGTCACATCGTGCGCATGGTATAATCTTTCGGCATGTCAAGATTGGAGGGAGTACATTGTCCCAGGGTGGGTATCAATTTTGTTTTCTCCTTAGAAGACCGAGATGAAGAGGCGACTTCATTCCGCCGAGGAACCGTCCTGGAAGTTCTGGCCATTGCGATAGTAAAATTTTCTCTAGGAAAGTAAGAAGGAAGAATGTAAAAAGAGGGGTCTGGATTCGCGAATTTGAAGATGTTGGGAAAATAAGGATTATCAAAATATTGATATATTTATAGGAACCACCTGGGCAGTGAAAGAGGCGAGCCAATAGTGGTTCGTGAGTTTCTCGATAGTCGCATTTGATGGTGACCCTTGCACGGTTTTTTGGGGGCATGGCATTAAATGATCTGATAGGCCGACGTCATGGAAGTGATGTCCTCAGAACGGAGGCTCAAAATCATTTCATATTACTTCGTTCTGGGAAACGCAACGACTATATGTATACGGTAAAATCGGAGGGTCCAATTTCTCGTCATTAAGGCATTTCAGGAAATCATCTCGAGACCTCGAGGCTGCGAGGCTATGGTCGAGCTCCCTACCTCGAGGTTCGTCAGTGGCCGACCTAACGACAATGTTGGTCGCGGTCATGATGGGAACGGAGAGTTCCCTAGGCATGCAGCTAGTACTGGCAGAGCCTGGTGCCATCTAGTTGTCTCATTCCCTTATTTTTGTAATTAATGCTTTTATACTATGTTGGGATTTCCCTCCTATACAAAGGGGGTCCTTGACATTTTGTAAACTCTCTCTGTTGCTTCAGCTACTCCACACAAAATATACAAGAATATTCTCTTTGCTCTCATACACTCTCTTGATATTATTGCTTTTATTTATTATCTCCATATTTGTTCATCATTTATTGCCTATCAATGGCCACAAAGAGCCTCCATTGATTTTATTATAACTGTTAGCCCTATCCTGATTACCCTCAATAGCTCGTAGCCGAGCCCTGGAATCGACCTCAAGGCCCAGAATCGACAAACCCGAGGCCCCAAGTAATTGGCATATCGGTTCGAATGTCGCTCTCCCCTTAGCTTTATTTCATCTCTAAATCATATACACTTAGCATCAACTGCTTAACAAACTAGTATAAAAATAGATCACGTATTTTTAGAGTTCCATCAACAAATTTAATTGTTATTACCATTTTTACGGTAAACAAATAGACAGTGGGTCGACCCATAGTTTCATTGACCCAATTGTTCCAAAGAAATTGGTCTTGATGGGTGAGTCCATTAAAGGTGTAATGCAAGTTTCAGTGGCCAATGAGTATAAAATACCTTGTTACCAGTTCAACCCGGGGTTCAAATGGGAAATGGGGGATAACCATCAATTCCTCTTTGATTTATGTTGGTTGCTAGTTAAAGGTTATGATATTGTATTGGGAATCTATTGGATCAATTCAGTTACTCCCATCATGTTAAATACCAATCCTCACAGTGTTTACTTTATAAAAGATGGGGATGTGATGACTCTTTTTGGTAGCAAGGAAAGTTCTCAGATATCTCCTACTATCCTCAAATCTATGAACAAATTATTAAAGGAGAGTTTTTGCAGTTTTGTGGTCCAAGCCCAAATAAACTCTATGGAGAGTACTGGTGTCAGCCCAGTTCCAGTTCAATTTAACAAATTGCTAACGCACTATGCAGATGTATTCCAAGAACCCAAAGGGCTACCTCCTAGATAGAGGTGTGATCACATTATTGAGCTTGTCCATGGAGCAAAAGTTGTGAATCAAAGGACATATCACTACTCCTACGAACAAAAGAATATGATTGAAAAGCTAGTGCAGGAAATATTACAAGCCAGCACGGTGGTTCCTAGCTCGTCCCCTTTTGCATCACCTGTCATCTTGGTAAAGAAAAAAGATGCATCATGGAGAATATGCATAGATTACCGTCAATTGAATGACATCATGGTTAAGAATAAGTATCCCATTCTGGTTGTAGAAGATCTCTTGGATGAATTGCATGGAGCTAATTTATTTTCAAAAGTTCGATTTACGTTCTGGATATCATCAAATTCGAATGTGCGAAGAGGATGACTTCAAAACAACATTCCGCACCCATCATGGCCTTTGACAATTTTGGGTAATGCCTTTTGGGATCATTAATGCCCCGAAAACTTTTTAGGCACTAATGCATAAGGTATTCGGCCCTTATCTTAGAAAATTTATTTTGGTTTTCTTTGATGATACTCTTGTTTATAGTGCTACATTGGGAGACCATGAGGCTCATCTAAAAAATGTATTTGAAGTTTTACGAATTAATCAATTGTTTGCAAAATTATCCAAATGTAGTTTTAGTCAATCCCAAACTGAATATTTGGGACACATTATATCTGGGAAGGGGGTTAGCACTGATAACTCTAAGATTGAGGCCATGGTGAATTGGGCCAGGCCCAACAGCATCAAAGCACTTTGTGGTTTCCTTGGGCTTACAGGATACTATCGGAGGTTCATCCGACATTTTGCCACCATAAGTAGGCCTTTGTCTAACTCACTAAAGAAGGGAGCTTTCAACTGGAATGAAGAGGCAACACAAGCTTTTGAAGCCTTAAAGCGGGCTATGATACAAACACTTATTCTGGCCCTTCCTGATTTCACTAAGCATTTTATCGTGGAAGTTTATGACTGCAGAACTGGAGTGGGTACAATTTTAATGCAATAGGGATATCCTATAGACTTTATAATTCAAGCTTTGGGGTAAAAACATCTTGGGCTATCTACTTATGAGAAGGAGTTGATTGCATTATTGTTAGCTATTGAGAAATGGCGACATTACCTACAACCAACTCATTTTGTAATTAAAACTGATCATTTCAGTCTAAAGTATCTAAAGGATCAGAGAGTGACTACTTCATTGCAACACAAGGGCTTGACTAAGCTACTTGGGCTTAGTTATGAGATTCATTATACAAAAGGGAGTGAAAATGTTGTAGTTGATGCTCTGTCTCGCAGATTTTAAAAAAAAAAAAAAAATGTTGATTGCCAAGCCATGACATTGGTGCAACCAGCTTGAGTGCAAGAAGTCCTCAACAGTTATGAAGGATACTTCAAAGTCTCCAAGGTGTTGTCCAGTTTGTTGCTTGATGCAAATTCTATACCGGATGTGTTGCTACAACAAGGAATTATAAGGCATAAAGGGCAAATTTGGATTGGCACGTTATATGCAGAAATTGATTGAAGCTATGCACCTCATAGCATGGGGAGGACATTCAGGGGTCCTTGCAACTTAGCAAAGGCTGAGAGCAATGTTCTATTGGCCTGGTCTTTGGTTAGATGTTAAAGAGTTTGTGTCTGAATGTGACAATTGCCAAAGAAACAAAGGGGAGAATGTTGCATACCCAGGTCTCCTTCAACCTTTGACTATTCCTTCTAGAGCATGTGAACATATTACAATGGATTTCATCGAAAAGCTTCCTCAATCAGGAGGGAAAGAGGTAATCTTTTTGGTAGTGGATCGTTACGCCAAGTATGCACATTTTTTAGCCTTATCCCACCCCTATACAACATCTCAAATGGTTCAAGTTTTTCTTGACACCATTCTTAAATTACATAGGAACCTAGTGTCAATTGTCTCTGATAGGGACCATATATTTGTTAGCTTATTCTGGAAGGAAAATTTTAAGGGCATGGTAGTGCAAATTAAGCTAAGTTCTGCCTATCATCCACAGACAGACGGACAAACGGAAAGGCTCAATAGGTGTTTGGAAGGGTACCTTCGTTGTTTGACGGGTCATAAACAAATAAATTGGAGTAAGTGGTCGAGCTTAGCAGAATTTTATTATAACTCGACCGATCATTTTGCAATTCAAATGTCTCCTTTTAAGGCTTTGTATGGTTTCGATCCTCCTTTACCTACATTTGAGCTGGTGGCTCAGTCCAAAGTGAACTCCGTGGATGAAATGTTAAAACAGAGGCAAATCATGAGTAAGGTTCTGCAAGAGAATTTAAAGAAAGCTCAGGAAAGGATGAAGCTTTACGCCGATTCAAAAAGAACAAATAGAGTTTTTGAAGAAGGGGATTGGGTATACCTCAAATTGCAACCTTATCGACAGACGTCGGTAGCTATTTGTAAGAATTTGAAGTTAGCTTCGAAATTCTATGGCCCATATCAGATTTTGCGACGAATTGACCAAGTGGCTTATGAGCTTTGATTACCCATCGGGTCGAAGATTCACCCAGTGTTTCATGTGTCGCAACTTAATAAGAAGGTTGGAAATCCAACTGCATCATTGATTGATCCCCTAATATGCAACAATGAAGGCCAAATTTTGGTGGAACCAGTGGCAATCTTAGATCGACGCATGGCGAAGAAGAAGAAGAAGAATAAGGTGGCAATTAAGGTATTGGTGCAGTGGGCGAACTTATCTTCTGAAGAAGCAACATGGGAGGATATTAATTTCCTTCGTTCTCAATTCCCTACATTTCAACCTTGACTGTCATCAAGGTTCTTTAACGGAGGATGTGATTGTTACGAGTTGGGATTAACAAGAAGGGTAGTTTAGGTTATTAGTTTTCTTATTTATGTTATGGAGTCTTTGTCTAGTTTATATTACTTTAGTCCCTAGTTATTTATCTTTAAGTCTATAAACATGGCTTATGTAGTTGGCTGCCAAGTGTCCTAGTCTGTTAGCAGAGGAGTCCTATTTAGTACCGTGCATTCTCATTTCCTATTTTTATGTTGAATGACAAACAACTTTTTATTCTCTTTATCTTTCTGTCCTTTTTATCCCTTTTATACGTAGCAATAGCTACAGTTGGTGCCTATATGGTATTCTATGATCTTAGATGATCATCTTCGATGTAGAATGACATTTGATTGATTTATTAGACACAAGTCAGGGATCAGTTTGGTCACTATGTCTACTTGTATGACTCAAAGCTCGCCAAGTATCGAATTTACTTTATAGTTTCAGTGCTTTATGCCCTCATCTTTTGTACTGAAATATGTTCACGAGAATCTTGGAAGTGGCAAAGAAGAAAAGATATCAGTCAGGAGAAGGGGTAGACCACAGGAGCCATTGAAGGATGAAATGGAGGAGGAAAAAGAAGTTGGGAAAGTTTTCAAGAAGTGACGGCAATTCTTTGACCACATAGTCATACATCCTCCAGTTCTTCCATTTCTCTTGTGTAGCATTTAGATAGAAACCAGCACCTATTCCAAAAAATAAATTTGAACTTTCTCATACATTGCCAATTCAGCTTATGAAAACTCAGCCAAAGCATCTCAGCTAAGAGTTATCATAAACTTAGATGGCACTGCAAATAACCCATTCCTTCTGAAAAAGTAATTCAAGTGTAAGAGAAAATTAAGGGATAGTATGGTTGATCATATTTCCTGAATGGAGCATAACAGAACTTTAAAAGGAAATGTGAGGCACTTTTCTCTGAAGAAATTAGAATCCTTTATTCCCAGTGTTACACATAATCTTTAGTAAGTTAAGCTTCTTCCGGCTGCAAATGTCAAGTTCATATTGGGGAAAAAAGGACATCAGGAAAGACAACCGTTCTTGTTAGTTTCTAGTAGTAGTATGTATGTATTTTTTTTTTTATTTTTTTTTTTGCTTTTTTTCCTTGAACTTTGGGTGGTGGGGTGGGGTGGGGGGGTGGGGATACAGGATATGGAAGCATATAAATCATATTGGTGGGAGTTCTAATAGATGCGAACAAATCAAATTGTCCATATAACTATCCCCATCACCGATTCATCAATGGAAAATATATAGAACAGAGATGAAGAAACATATCATAAGGTAAGCCTTGAAACTCCCACATGGTCCGTGTGGTCGTCAGATGTCAAACCTAAGTTGCTCGGACACGGGTGCAGATCTAGAGGTCAGATCCTTTGAAATGTAAATTCTAAGATTCAGGGATATGGATCCTAGTACGGATCCGGGTGCGGTGATCCGGCTAAAAATAATTCAAAATAAAATAAAAATTATCTCCAAATTATGGAATACTTTACGTATACCTTGCAAAGTGTAATTTCTTTTTTATTCTCAAGTTGTAGATAAGTAAGGATTGATTTCCTAAATAAGGTATGCTATTTTCTTCAAATTTACACTTGTTTTGGTTATGATTTCGGGAGTCAAATTGTATCTTGTCTCGAATTTTTCCGGCCGTCGTGGTCAAAGTACCCAAATTGTTTGACCAGATCCGGTACGGATCCCCTACCCACACCCATACTAGTGACGTGTCAACACGGGTGCGGCACCTAAACTGCCGTGTCGGAGCAACTTAGTGTCAAACTCTTTATAAGTATGTACTCCTTGCCAATCATTTATACATATCGATAGCACATATTTTTCACATACCTACACCGAAGTCCCAGCTGTCTGACTCTCCTTCCACATTCAGGCCTCCTGTAATAAGAACAGGCAATACCCAGTTAGATTTATAGCCCATATGTACAAAAGTAAAAAGTAAGAATAGCTTGATTAAAAAAATTACCATCACATAGCAGGCTAAGTTTCAGTTACACACACACATGCATATATGAGAGCTTGCAGCCTCATCATCTAACTCAAGATTTGCCTAGTTGACTAATAAGGTTTAACTGCAACAGGACTGCATCCACTGCTCTGTGATTACATTACATAGTCTGCTGCTCAGGACAGTAAAATTCCAGCACATATGACTACATGGTGTATACTCAACAATCTACCCCTTGGGCCCCACCATCTAAACCAGGACGGTATGATCCCGTTTCTCACAAATGTAATTCTTAACTAGCACAAAACGTAGGTCTCAAAGATCCAAATTTACATTACACCAATAGATTTTATCTGACTCATACTATAACACACAATAAAATGATTTTCTCAATAGGATATGATTCCCTATTGACCTGTTCATCTAACAGCTTAGACCAACAAGCAACAAATCTGGTCAAAGCACTACATCATTCTTAGGCATAAGCTTAGAACATCCATATTTAGACAAATATTTGTTCAACAATATCCAAGGTTCTTTTTGTAAAAAGAAATATGGGGAAAAGAAATAAACAATTTTTTAAAAGAGAAATAAGCACTTCTTTTGTAAAACTCCCAGTCCTCCCAGTTTATGTGGAAAGTTTAACTACAACGTTTTAAGAAAATCAAAAGGTAAAAAACGCCCCAAAAAAAGCCCAACGGGAATCAAGCAAAGAGGGGGAGACGGAGCACACACTTCTTCTAAGTCAAGTGCAGCTTATTGATGCTCCACTATGAACTTTAACAAAACAAAAGTCAATTTTAATAGCAGGATAAAGGCATTACATTTTAAATAGAAGTAATGCTTCTGTTTTTTTTTCTTTTCGAGTATTCATTATAGTCAAATTCTGTATTACCTTGACAAGCTTCAAGACATGTAATAACCAGGTAAGAACTTAAGTTTGTATTCATTGACAATCACAAATAAAAGTATAGCATCTTCAAACAGATACTAGTGTTAGAAAATGAATGACCTCTATCATACAGTAATTTACATAGAGTCTTCTTAAGGAGTTTTGAGTCAAAAGCATGTACACCATAAAATTGACAGCCAAAGCCTCTTCCAATCTGAATGAGTTCTTTACATATTTCTCAGATCGAAATAAGGAAGTTATGCAAAAACTGATGTGGCTAGAAAAAACTTGAAATACTCGCAACATCTCTAATGAATGAACGTTCACCATACAGGCACAGAGGATTTACAGTCAACATCATGAAAGAAGCTCACTTGGAGATGTATCAGGAACAATCAGCGCAACACCCTCACTTGAAGCAGCACGTTGAGCACCAGATTTAGCTATAAAGTTCTCGTCCATGCAAGTTAAGCCAGAGAGCCAGTAAAGCACCTTAAAATTGGTGCAGCCATACAGCATCAGTAAACATAGCTAACCAGTAAGATTACACTCATAACCAACATAAAACAGGTCCATCAGTTAACATAGCACCACATAAAATAATTGCAAATACACTCCTACCACTTAACAAATGGAGAAAAACAAACATCAAACTGATTCAATTGAATGGATCAAGAACACATTCAATCAATCAACAACGCCTCAATACAAGCTAGTTGGGGTCAGTCATATAAATCATTTTATAATCATTCTGTTCTATTTAATCCCATTTGGCCCATTTCAGTCCAATTCTGAGCTAAATAACACACTAGCAAAAACCTTACTCCCTATGTCCCAATAAATGCAACACACTTTCCTTCTTAGTCTATCCCAAAAGGAATGACACATTTCCATATTGAGAAACAATTTAACTTCAAAATTCACATTTTACAATTAAAAAGATGATTTATATCAACACATCTGTCTATAGCTTTTTTAGACTACAAGTTTCAAAAATCTTTCTTTTTTTCTTAAACTCAAAAACTGTCACAAAAATTTGGAAGAAGCACAAAAAACAAGAAAAAAGAACACACTAACAAAAGAATTCACTTGATAAGGTAACAAGAAGAGATCAATCAAAGATATTGACAAGGGAAACAAAGCAACAAAAAGACTAAGAATATAAAATTAAGAGCAACAAATTTTTGCAAGTAAAACCCATAAATCCTATAATTAACCAATGGGTGATGATTCTATTCAGCAAGAATTATCCTAGAGGTCAATCACATAAATCATTTACTATCATACTGTTCAATTCAGGCACATTTTACTCCAATATTGAGCTAAAAAAAATGAAACTTTGCAACTAAAATCCATAAATCCAAAAGGGTTGTTAATAATGGGTAATTTATAGATAGTTCAAAAATGGATTAAAAGGTGGAAAACTTACAGGGAACTTGTGAGAAGGGGAAGTTGAAGGAGGGAAAAAGATGTGGAAATTCATAGAACAACCAAGTGTTGGGCTCAAGTGTTTATATCTCTTGTTGTAACCTCCAAACATCTTGGAGCTGCTGATTTCTGTAGGCTTAGTTTCCATTTTTACAGGATGAAACTCAAATAACTGAAGATGTTTGTTGAAGATGAGCGTGTCACTCTTTATCATAGAAGAATTCTCTAGGGTTGTACTTGTACTAGATTAATAATTGAGACACACGTGTCGTTATTTATTTTTCATGTTTTTTTTTGTTTTAATTTGCATCCTTTGGAAAATTAGAAGGGAAATAAATAAGATTTATTTTTAGGTAGCGTCAGTGTATTTTTTTTTTTTTTTTTTTTTTTTTATAAACAATAAGGTTGGAAGTGTTCATGCTACGATTAGTTGCTACGCTATCAACGTTTTCAGAGACTTTCTCTCTCTTATCTCTTTTCTCTCTCTTCGATAATGGTAACATCTCCATCTTCTCCGGCAAATCCACCGGCAAACCAGCGTCGCCGACACTCGTCCAGGTAAGTACCCGTATCCTTTCTCTCTCCTCTCTCTCTCTCCCCGCGTCCCTCTCTCTCTCCTTTCTTTCTCCTTTCTCTCTCCCCGCATCCCTCTCTTTCTTCCTCTTTCTTTAAACCCTAGCAGTAGCTAGGCCGCCGTCCGGCGACCCACCGGCGCCGTCTCATCTTCCTTCTACTTTTCCGACCCCACCAGACCACTCTCCTCTGTGTTTCCCTTTCTTCAAACCTTTCTTCGCCGTACCACCATTTCTCGGACCGACACTGTTTTTCAGCAGCCGTTCCGGTGACAGTCCCCTCCTTTTCTTGGTCACGTGGTGTGTTGTGTGTGTTTCAGGTAGAACTTTTGGTGGCTGTTTGGGGATGGGTGGGAGGTGTACGGGAAAAGCAGAGCTGGCCATTTGGCCGTCACAAAGGGCTAGACGTCGGGTTCCAAAGCACCCGGGTTGTATTCGCGGGAATTGCTGCGGCTGCCCAGGCAAGTGCGAGGCATACGGGCGAGTAGAACGGAGCATCATCGGGCGCATCAAGTCATATTTCCAGGTTCTTTCCATCGGGAGTTGGTACATCCCGTTTTCTTGTCTCTTTCTCTTTGTTAGTTAATTTGTGGCTATTTAATTAGCATCACTTTAAGCTTAATATTAGAATACTTGTAGTTGCAACCGGTTATTTTCTAGTTTGGGTCCGTGTTAGTGTTGTCAGGAGTTTGTTGTAGGTATAGTGGCTGTGGTGTAGGATGGTAGAGTAAGGTCATGTCCTCGAGGGGTACCGGGGGTTTTTAGGGGGAGGGGAGGGGGCCAGGGGTTGGGACGAGAGAAAAGGAGGGTAAGGGGAAAGAGGGAGCTTGTAGATTGAGGATCGGTTCATGGAACATAGGCACGCTGACGGGTAAGTCTATTGAGTTGGCAAAGATTCTCCAGAAGAGAAAGGTTAATATAGCTTGTGTCTAGGAGACTAGGTGGGCATGGTCGAAGGCGAGGAATACGGATGGGTATAAGTTGTGGTACTCTGGAGTTGTGAGGGGTAAGAATGGAGTGGGTATCTTGGTGGATAGGGATCTTAGAGAGTTTGTGGTTGAGGTTAGGCGAGTGAATGATAGGCTAATGTTTATTAAGTTGGTGATCGGTGTGTGCACCCTCAATGTCGTTAGCGCCTACGCGTTGCAAGCGGGCCTGGACGAGGAGGTTAAGAGGCGCTTTTGGGAGGGCTTGGACGAGATTGTGCGTAGTATTCCACCTACTGAAAGGTTATTTATTGGAGGGGATTTCAATGGCCATATTGGGGCGGCTGCTGGTAGTTATGGCGAGGTGCATGGTGGCTTTGGCTTTGCGGATAGGAACGGAGGAGGTACTTCGCTGTTAGACTTCGCTAAGGCTTTCGAGCTAGTGATTACGAACTCGACTTTTCCGAAGAGGGAGGAGCATCTGGTTACTTTCCGGAGTTCGGCGGTGAAGACTCATATCGATTACCTTCTCCTCAGAAGGTGTGATAGAGGGTTGTGCAAGGATTGCAAGGTTATCCCGGGAGAGACCCTCGCGACTCAGCATAGACTCCTAGTGATGGACATCGGCATTATGATGAAGAGGAAGAAGAGGTATGCTCGTGGCTGACCGAGGATTAGATGGGGAGCTTTAACCAAGGATAAAGCCCAGGAGTTGGAGGGGAGGTTATCCGCTATGGGAGCTTGGAGGAGTAGTGGAGATGCGAGCACTATGTGGTCGACGACGGCGAACTATGTGAGGGAGGCGGCGAGGGAGGTGCTAGGAGTATCGAAGGGTTTTTCTAGCAGGCACCAAGGAGACTGGTGGTGGAATGAAACAATCCAAGGTAAAATGGAGGCGAAGAAGGTAGCGTACGCAGAGTTAGCAGGGAGCACAAGCGAGGAGGAGAGGAGTGCAAATAGAGAGAGGTACAAAGTGGCTAGGAAGGAGGCAACACCGGCGGTCACGGAGGCTAAAAATGCAGCGTTTAGCCGTCTATACGAGGAATTAGGGGAGAAAGGCGGGAAAGGAAGTTGTTTCGGCTGGCTAAAGAGAGGGAGAGGAAGGCCCGGGATCTGGACCAAGTAAGGTGCATCAAAGACGAGGATGGTAGAGTATTGATGGGAGAGTTCCAGATTAAGCAGAGATGGCAGGCGTACTTTTATGGTCTTCTGAATGAGGAGGGGGACCGGGATATAACGCTAGGGGACTTGGGGTATTTAGAGAGTCTTCGAGATTTTAGGTATTGTAGGCGCATTAAAGTGGAGGAGGTCGTGGGGGCGTTGCGTAAGATGAGTAGGGGTAGAGCAACCGGGCCAGATGAAATTCCGGTTGAGTTTTGGAAGTGTGTGGGTAGAGCAGGATTGGAATGGTTGACTGGGTTGTTCAATGTAATTTTTAGAACGAAGAGGATGCCGGAGGAATGGAGGTCGAGTACAGTGGTACCGTTATACAAGAACAAGGGCGATATCCAGTGTTGTAACAATTATAGGGGTATCAAGTTACTTAGCCATACCATGAAAGTCTGGGAGAGGGTGGTGGAAGTGAGGGTGAGGAAGACGACATCTATATCCAACAATCAGTTTGGGTTCATACCGGGCCGCTCCACTACGGAGCTATCCACCTTATTAGGAGTTTGGTGGAACAGTACAGGGATAAGAAGAAGGATCTGCACATGGTGTTTATTGACTTGGAGAAAGCGTATGATAAGGTTCCTAGGGAGGTGCTCTAGAGATGTCTTGAGGCGAAGGGCGTGCCGCTAGCCTACATACGAGCGATCAAGGACATGTATGATGGAGCTAAGACTAAGGTTAGGATGGTGGGAGGCGACTCGGAGCATTTCCCAATTGTTATGGGATTACACCAACGCTCAGCGCTTAGCCCGTTCTTATTTGCCTTGGTGATGGATGCTTTGACACACCATATTCAAGGGGAGGTGCCATGGTGTATGTTATTTGCTGACGACATAGTTCTAATTGACGAGACGAGGGCCAGTGTTAACGAGAGATTAGAGGTTTGGAGACAGTCTCTCGAGTCTAAGGGTTTCAAATTGAGCAGGTCTAAGACAGAGTACCTGGAATGCAAGTTTAGCGCTGAGTCGAGGGATGTAGGCGGGGACGTGAGGCTTGGGCCACAGGTCATTCCCAAGAGAGATAGCTTCAAGTACCTTGGGTCGATGATTCAGGGGGACAAAGAGATCGACGAGGACGTCACTCACCGCATTGGGGCGGGCTGGATGAAATGGAGGCTTGCATCTGGAGTCTTGTGTGACAAGAAAGTGCCATCGATAGTCAAAGGTAACTTTTATAGAGCTGTAGTTAGACCGGCCATGTTGTATGGGGCAGAGTGTTGGTCGGTTAAGAACTCCCATATTCAGAGGATAAAAGTAGCAGAGATGCGAATGTTGAGGTGGATGTGCGGGCACACTAGGATAGACAATATTAGGAATGAAGATATTCGGAAGAAGGTGGGCGTCACCCATGTGGATGACGAGATGCGGGAAGCGAGGCTCAGATAGTTCGGGCACGTGCAGAGGAGAAGCCTCGATGTTCCGGTGAGGAGGTGTGAGCGGTTGGCCGTGGTGGGTATGAGAAGAGGTAGAGGGAGACCTAAGAAGTATTGGGGAGAGGTGATCAGGCAGGACATGGCACGACTACACATTTCCGAGGACATGGCCCTTGATAGGAAGGCCTGGAGGTCAAGCATTAGGGTTGTAGGATAGGGGCAGTAAAGCTTTCCTTACTTCATTCCAGGGGTGAGGCGGGGTTGGATTAGGGTTGGTCTTAGATGGCTGCAGTTTATGTTGGACCCATACTATTCTTGTTGTTTGTCTTAGCCCTAGGCCTTAGATTATGGTTACTGTTATTGCATATCATTCATCTTTCGGTTTTTATGTTTCTGTTATTATTACGATTTCCACTGGAGTTACTAATGATTTCTCTCCTCTTGTTTTTCCTACTTTATTTTCGTCTTTCTAAGCCAAGGGTCTATCGGAAACAGCCTCTCTGTCCCTATCAGGGCAGGGGTAAGGTCTGCGTACACATTACCCTCCCCAGACACCACTATGTGGGATTTTACTAGATAGTTGTTGTTGTTGTTTGTTGTTAGAAGTGTTCATTCTAGTTGTGTTGTTTCACTGGGTAGCTTCACCTGCCATTAGCATAAGTATCAAATAATTGTGCTCACTTGACCATTGATCACACCATTAAGTACTACTAGAAACTCGATGATTGATAGTTGTTGGCTACTCTTAATCATCCTTTACTTAACCACAGAGTTTTGTCTGTTGTAGAGTTCGAACTCGTAATGTACATCTAACATATATATTATGTGTTGCGCTCTTGTTACTAGATTAAAACCTTTGGGGCTGGATGGAGATTTAGGCTGGCATGAATCTATCTACTAAAATTTTGCGGACACATAAAAAAAAGACCTAATGAGCAATAGTCATCGCTTCTGTCACGACCCAAAATCCACTAAGGATCGTGGTGGCGCCGGACACCGCTGTCAGGCAAGCCAACTAAAAATACTTAATTAAATTCCAATTCTAGTGTTGGTTGAAATCATTTTCCTTATGCATTTAAATAATAAAGAATGAAATTTACAGAAATAACTATGGAGTCTCTAACAAACTTAATATTGAATAATCCAAAATCATCTCAGAACCCGGTGTCACAAGTGCATGAGCTATTTCTAGGAAGCAATACAATACAACAACCGTCCGGAATACAATGGACAGAAAGTAAATACAATACGCTGAAAGAGACTATACTAGCTGCGGATCGCCTCGAGAAATGCAGCTCACCTAGTCCCCGTATCATCCGCGCTGCTGCGCCCAGTAGGCCACTAGAAGTACATGTGCCTGTGCAACAAAAATGCACAACAAGTGTAGCATGAGTACGAAAACAACGTGTACTTAGCAAGTATCCCGTCTAATCTTAAAGAAGTAGAGATGAGAGGTCGACTTTGACACTTGCTAGTGGTCCAATAATAATATAGTGAAGATGTGAGGAAATATGGATTTATCTAACAATTATAACTCATAAAGCCGGAAAGCAGGTAACACCTTCTCAAATAATAAGGGATTTTTCCAAGATTTACTTTTCATTATCTTTATCGATTTATATCGGGCCATAAAAGGCAATAGTAACACTTAAAACTCTCGAGCAAGCAATACAAGCATGTACAAATCATGCCGAGGTAGTACGATCCGATCCAACAGAAATATAAAATGTGCACTGCCGAGGGTCGAACGACACGAACCATAGATGCATCTATTACCCCGCTTGCGAACTATCCATACGACGCGGTCAACATAAAATAAACAAACACCCTGCTCGCAAATCATACATGCGACGCAGGTACACATAGAATCACATATTCAAACAGTTAATCAAAATTTCATTAGGGAACGACTATCTGAGGAAGACCCAAATTCTCTTTTATTTAACGATTTAAGAAAAATGAAGTTTAGTCCTTTTAGAAATTCATTTACCACTTCGCTAGAATTTATGCAATTCAAACCGTCAATAGGATTACAAATATTTCCAACTACAACACACTTTGGGTCCTAGACTACCCGGACAATAGCATAATAGTAGCTACGCACGGACTCTCCTCACCTCGTGCGTACGTAGCCCCCACAAATAGGAGCACATAACCAATTAACTCACCTATGGGGACAATTCCCTCTTATAAGGTTAGAAAGGAGACTCACCTCGCTCCGAAGATCTATAACCGGCATTCCACGTTCTTCCGAAGACTCGAATCGATGAACCAAGCTCCACAACTAGCCAATAATACTACCAATCCATTAATATATACTCGATTACCCTTAATGGTCCAATTTATAAAGATTCGTAACCCCGATCGAAAAGTTGACAAATACGCCCTCGGGCCCACGTGCCCGGATTCCTAAATTTTTTGAAGATAAAATTTACCCATAACCTCACGAACTCAAATATATAATTTACTCTCAATTTCATACCCAAAATCGTGGTCAAATCCCAAGAATATCAATTTTCTATGTTTCCCCCAAACCCCAAGTTTCTACCCATTTACATGCTAAAATCCATACCTAATCGATATATTTAACCCAAGATAGGTGGGGATAGCTTACCTTAACGTTGATAAAGAAAATCCCCTCTTGAAACCCTCTAAGAATCGCCCAAGCCAAGAAAATATGAGAGAAAATGGCCAAATCCCAATTTTTAAAAGAACCATTCTGCCTCCAGCACTTCCGCACCTGCGTTCCCTTGACCGCTTCTGCGGTTCCACAGGTGCGGCTCTTCTACCACTTCTGCGGATATCACACCAGGCCCTCCCTTCCGCTTCTGCGACTCAACCGTCGCAGGTGCGGTCCCGCTTCTGCGACTGCTCGATCGCATCTGCGGCCTCCTTCACTTTTGGTCCAAACCGCATCTGCGGCTCCTCTGGCCGCTCCTGCGGCCCAATTCTCGCAGGTGCGGTTATACCAGCAACCAGCAACTTCAGCCTCCCAAAAACTCCATTTTCGATCCGTTAACCACCCGGAATCCACCCGAGGCCCCCGGGACCCCTACCAAACATACCACCCAGTCCCAATACATATTACGGACTTGCTCGAGACCTCAAATCATATCAAACAACGC